AAGTCAAGCATTATGGTTGCTATTAACACCTCTAGGTCCACCAGCTTGGGCAGCCATAGCAAGTTCAAATTGTTTAATGGAAATTGAAGGAAAAGAAATTAATTCAGGAGTTTTCAAATTTTCCCATCCTTTGATAGGGTTAATTGTTGTTGATCCATCCCACCCTATGTGTGTTACATGCTTCACATCTGTTGGATACCCTATTTCTATCTCCATTTCCACTTCTTCTTCTTCCTCTTTGTGCACTACAAAAGAAAAAAAGAAGCAAATTATAAGGATAAAATAAAAAATAAAATAAAAATCGGCTCTGAAAGGGAACGAACTATTGTCTCCTTATATGGTTTTAGACGATTTTAATAATTATTTTAGGTTGAATCAACTTTAGATTCATTTTCTTGATAATATATCAGACTCGTTCTAGTTCTAGTATTTCCGATGTTGGACCCATATATTAGAGTTAGGATACTTATCAGGCGGATCAGACGGATAATTACGCTTAACGGTTCGGCTTATCGGTTATCGGATGATAAATATAGTAATTCGCTAGTTATCCAATAAGATAACGGGTAGACTGGTATCGGATTAACGATTATCAAATGGTTATCGGACGGTTTATTGGCTAAATCAAATATAAAAAAATTCAACAATCCTAGTCTTGTGAATGCCAAATTGCCAAACTACATAGTTCATTGGCTTTTATACCTTCCATTGTGGAACTCCATATGAGCCTCCTCTTTTAGCGACTCCACTATTCTTGTTTCAACTAGTTGGTCTGGTGATTAGATTACTCTTAATTGGTCCTTTATATGTGTTACCCCCATGCAGCTGGTGTCCAAGATCATCAAGAGAGAGACGAGACTGACGAGTGATGAACACAAGAAGATTCAGATTGAGAGAAATTTTGATTAGGGATTTAGAATTACGAGAGATGACTGGTCGACTTCTCACTCTTTACTGCGGACTGAATTTAATTGAGAACTAAAAAGTAGGGATTTAGCCATTTATGGTTTCAATAGTACTTTATATACATAAGAGTAAAAGTGTAAATATAAAAAAATTTAACGAGTTAACAGTTTATCCGATAGGAAAATTGAGTAATCCGCCCCCAAACCGTTAAGACGTTAATTATAAAATCTCAATCCGTTCACCAACCATTACCCTGATATCCCTTTAGCCAATAAGTCATCGGTTCAGTTTGGTTAACGGTTACGGTTCGGTTTTGAACTACCCTAATTAGAGTATCCTATAATGGTCAAAAGAATGTGTGGATAAACTATCTTCACCTACGGAGCGAGAGCTTTTGAGGTTAAGTCTATGTTAATAATTTTTTTTATGTTATTCTCCATGTTTTTAATTTTGATTTTGTATGAATGTGGATTTGTGACTAGTAGGAGAGGAAAGATAAAGAGGAAAATGGTTTGATGAGATTAAAATCTTATAAATACAAGGTAAAGAGGGCAATGGCTACTTACCAAATAATTGGGAGAAACCTTTGAAATGCCTTTTCAATCTTTGAATATTTTGGGAAAATGTTGGTCTTGTCATGGACAAAAATCCCCAAAAGCTCTTCATTTTTACACTTGATGAGCTCACTTCTCCTTCTTGTCTTTCTTGAATAAGTCACACCCAAAGTAATAATGTCAAACACAGAAAAGAATAACAATACAGAGGCACAACAAAAGCAATTGAAAATATTTTATATGATGAGAATAAAACTTACTCGCATTTGGTGTTTACACTAACCCAATAAATATATGAGACATGCCTTATAAAACACTCGTATCACTAAACCATAGTTAAAGAAACACACATACTCATCTTAATTTATGATTTAACCATGATATATGATAAATTAGTATGATTTAATTTAAACATCGGGTGCAAATAAGTTTTACCTATTCAATTTATGTGGTTTAAATGAGAACTATCTATTCATCAAAAGCCTACCATAAATGAAGTAAAAATAGGATAGGCTAGCTTGTTTTCGGATTGATAATTGGAAAATAGCTAGCTTTTGCAAAGTCATTGAACAATAATCACTATTTTATGCGGAGATAAAATCTGGACAAAAATACCTTTACTGAAACACGAGAAGTTTCAGCATAATATACTAGATTTTGGTTTGAAAGGTTTTACTATAGGATTAACCTCTTAATAATACTTAAACTTAATATAAATATTATTAAGTTTATATGAACCCAATATTTTTGACAAAGAAACATAAAAATATACATGAGACATAGGGGAGAGAGAGAGACATACTTGTTTTCTCAGCTGGATTAGTGTTTGTTTTCTCAGATTGGCTGCTGCTACTGCTCACTGCAACACTTGACTCAGAACCACACACTACAGAAAATGGCAACATAAAAAACTTTTCTATTGATTTTTCCTTCATATTTCTTCCAATTAGCATATGAAATCAACAGTGAATTATAGCATATAAATCACAAAAGATGGGAAGAGATATAAAGAGAGAGTTACATTAATGAGATTAATGTGTAAGTAATTAGCTTTATGAAGAAGTTAGAATGATTTAGGCTATAGAAATGTAAGACACACCAAATATTAAAGCAGTTTGGTTTGGTGGCAATGGCATTAAGAGAAAAGCAAAGAGAATATATGAAAATGATGGAGTGGGTTAGAAACTTAAAAGAGTGGATATATTTAAGTTGGTTAAACTGTGCAACTCATGCTCAATATTGGCTCATTACTTGTCCAATTTAAGACATAAACAGAGCCCACTGACCAACTCCTCCACCCCCTGGAAGTTTTCTGTGTGTAAGTGAGTCGAGATTTTTATTAAGGAGAGTCAAAATATAACGAAGAAAGTCAATTTTTTTTACATGTAACATATATATTAATTTTTAGTTTTTACCTATATATACACTATTATTTTTCGGCAAAAACGTGTCAAGTTGACACCCCTTGGGCAAAGATGGCTCTGCCACTGATGGTATATGTGCCACATGAAAACATTCATATAACAAAAGTATTCGTAATATATATATATCAATAGAATTAAAGTTATAGAGGTTAATGACATTATAAATAATTATAAACTATCAGTACAATTTAACTTGTTGTAGCATGCTTAGTAATCCTACTTATTATAGATAATTACCTATAATTATCTTTAAAGTAGCTTAATAGTGTAATTCTTTTTAATTAAATTATCAGCTTATAAAAGTTAAACTCATATCAATATTTCTTTTAAATTACTTTACCTAGCTCGATCACCCTAGTTTCAACTTTTCTAACGCAAACTAGACTTTGGTCATCGGCTTATAGCCTTATACTACTTTGTGTTTTGAATATATTATCTAATTTGACCATAATTTTTAAAATCTTATTGGTAATCTGCAACTAAAATTTAATTGTTTGACTCTATTTTTGTCTTTTGTGTAATAAGTTTTTATTATTATTATTCTAAGTCTTAAATTGTATAGATAACTATAATCCCGGAATTGACCAATTTTGACCATTAAAGTGAACGTAGACATTAAAACAAAGATGAAAAGGTAATTAATGTACTTACTTGATTGCTCTAACATTATAGAATTTATTTGCAATTGTTTTTTTTAATTTCAAGGGGACTTTAGATAGTTGCACTATTTCAAATAAAATAAAATAAAATAATATATATATATATATATTCTTAACTAGAGATTTTGTATTCAAGTCTTGGAATGAAATCACCTCTGATTGGAAATATTGTAACCCAAAAATTGGACTTTTGTATGTGAATTCGAATTAGTCAGACCTAAAATAGTTATCGAACACGAAATGGTTATTGAGCATGATTTAAGTGGGAGATATGAAGTCATATACTTGTACAATCACTCTTTTTAGTTTAGTAATCCTAAATGAACCTACTCATTCCCAACTCTTCCAATCACATTGCGTGGGAAAGAGTGAATCCAAAGGGAATTTATTATAATATGATTCAAAATAGCGACGAGTATTTCTTCATTTTCACAAAAAGTAAAGAAAGTCAAAGAGTTTGGTGTACTTTGATACTTATTGAACACCAGAAGTGGAATGGAGTGTTCTTTAATTTTCTCTCTTTTTCACTTCCTTCTAAATTTGGTTGCTCCTTTTAGGTAGGCTTTTTCTAACTAAACTATTGTCATTTGCACCATATTTATTTCTTGTTTAATCATTCAGTATTTAAAGCTCATTATTTCGATTAATTTGAATTTGCTCGGAATAAACCCATTAATTAAATGAGGTAAATTACTCCTTATTGAAAGTATTGGGAGCTTGAACATGAAATCTCTGGTACGATTTCGACTTTGATCAAAGGCGAACCTATGTATCGAGTGGAGGGGTCATCGGACCTCGTTAAATTCGATAAATTTTTTCGACACACACACACACTCATTATATATATATATATATATATATATATATATATATATATGTGTGTGTCC